TGAATTCCACAAATTTGTCCATGGAACCGGATTGATATTGTTCTGCTTTTGATAATAATGCATACAAAATTGAGATTTTATGAATTCCACAAATTTGTCCATGGAACCGGATTGATATTGTTCTGCTTTTGATAATAATGCATACAAAATTGGAAATTATTGTACCTTTCATTGAGTGATGAGTGGTGTGAATGGTGTAGGCGCCACTCAGTTTATAATTGAGAGATAATTATTTGATGCATTAGTATAGTAGTTTTTTATTGACTCATGCATTAAATAATCACATGTCATGTAGAGCGACTGTCGTGGTAAGCGATTGCAAATAACTTTATTCTTGAAATAATCGTGTTTCATAGCGGATCTTGATTTTATTTTTTAATCCTGATTTCCATTATTTAAGAAAATAGTGTCAGCTTTGGCTACATCTAAATTTGTATCTTTTTACCCATTCGGTTTGTTTGATTAAGATTATACCAATTCCACAAATTTGTCCATGAAACCGAAGTGATCTTGTTCTGCTATTGTAAATAATGTATAAAAAAGTGAAAATTATTGTACCTTTAATGGAGTGATGAGTGGTGTGATGTTGTAGGCACCACTCAGTTGTTAATTAAAATATGACCAAAGAAAATTGTAGTCGCTCACTAGTACAGACGCAGTACATGGGATACATATGACAAATAATTATTTGGTGCATTAATATAATAGTTTTTTTTTATTGATTCATACATCAAATAACCACATGTCGTGTGTATGTCACATAGAACGACTACAAATAGTATTATTCTTTAAATAATCGTGTTCCATAGTAGATCTTGATATTTTTTCTCCTAATTTCCATTATTAAAGAAAAAAGTGTCAGTTTCGGCTAAATCTAAAATTGTATCTTTTTACCCATTTGGTTTATTTCATTAAGATTATATGAATTCCACAAATTTGTCCATGGAACAGGATTGATCTTGGTCTGCTATTAATAATAAAGTATAAAAAAGTGGAAATTATTGCTCTTTAATGGAGTGATGAGTGGTGTGACTGATGTAAGCACCACTCAATTGATAATTGAAATTTGAATAAAGATATTTGTGGTCATTCACTAAGAAAGACGTAGCACATGACATACATATGACAAATAATTATTTGATGCATTAATAAAGTAGTTTTTTGTTGATTCATGCATCAAATAATCACATATCATGTAGAGCGACTGTCGTGGTAAGCGATTGCAAATAACTTTATTCTTGAAATAATTGTGTTTCATAGAAGATCTTGACTTTTTATTTATTTATTTTTTATTATCCTGATTTCCATTATTTAAGAAAAAAGTGTCAACTTTGGCTACATCTAAAATTGTATCTTTTTAGCTGTTTGGTTTGTTTGATTAAGATTATACGAATTCCACAAATTTGTCCATGAAATTGGATTGATCTTGTTTTGCTATTGATATAAAAAAGTGAAAATTAATGAACTTTTAATGGAGTGATGAGTGGTGTAATGTTGTAGGCACCACCCAGTTGATAATTAAAATATGTCTAAAGAAATTTGTAGTCACTGACTAGGACAGACGTAGTACATGGAATACATATGACAAATAATTATTTGATACATTAATATAAGAGTTTTTTTTATTGATTCGTGTATCAAATAATCACATGCCATGTGTCTGTCACGTAGAGCGATTGTCGTAGTGAGCATCTGCATATAGTATTATTCTTCAAATAATCGTGTTCCATAGTAGATCTTAATATTTTTTCTCCTGTTTTCCATTATTTAAGAAAAAAAGTATCAGCTTTGCTAAATCTAAAATTGTATCTTTTTACCCATTTGATTTGCTTGATTAATATTATATTAATTCCACAAATTTGTCCATGGAACAAGATTGATGTTGTTCTGGTATTGATAATAATCTATAAAAAAGTGGAAATTATTGTTCGTTTAATGGAGTGATGAGTGGTGTGACTGGTGTAAGAGCGCCCAATTGATGATAATTGAAATATGACTAAAGATATTTGTAGTCGTTCACTAAGAAAGACGTAGTACATGGCATATATATGAAAGATAATTATTTGATGCATTAATAAAGTAGTTTTTTATTGACTCATGTATCAAATAATCACATGTCATGTAGAGCGACTGTCATGGTAAGCAATTGCAAATAACTTTATTCTTGAAATAATCGTGTTTCATAGTGGATCTTGATATTTTTTCTCCTAATTTTCATTATTTAAGAAAAAAGTCTCAGCTTTGGCTAAGTCTAAAATTGTATCCTTTTACCCATTTGGTTTGTTTGATTAAGATTATAAGAATTCCACAAATTTGGCCATGGAACCAGATTGATATTGTTCTGCTATTGATAATAATGTATAAAAAAGTGAAAATTATTGTACGTTTAATGGAGTGATGAGTGGTGTGATGTTGTAGGCGCCACTCAGTTGATAATTAAAATATGACTAAAGATATTTGTGGTACATGGGACATACATATGACAAATAATTAATTTGATGCATTAATATAGTAGTTTTTTTATTGATTCATGAATCAAATAACCATATGTCATGCTTCAGTTGGGAGCGTTGGCTAGAGCCTCGAGCTAGCCCGTGTCACGGGCCATTTCCAGCCTGTAACGAGTTGAGCCAAAAAAAAAAAAAAAAAAAAAAAAAAAAAAAAAAAAAGAAAAAAGAAAAAAATAGAACTTGCAAATCTTAAAAAAAATAAATAAATGTGGCAGTAGTAGCTACCTGCAGTAACAATGTATAATAAGGCAGCTGAATCGATTTAAAAAAAAAAAAAAAAAAAGAGCCGTCTCGACTCGTTAAAGTTTGAGCCTATATTTTTTGGTTGAGCAAAAGCTTGGCCTGGCTCAAGCAAAAAAAAATCCGAACTATTTTTACTCGAGTTGAGCCAGAGTTTCGAGTTTTGGCTCGACTCGACTTGTTGACATCCCTATTTACTAATGTTCTTGTTATAAATGTGTGAACCAATCTTTTAACGTGACTTGATACGAATTCCAAGATAGAGAAATTAAACAACATATAAGGGTTAATTTCATCTATGATGACTAACTTAAGAAAAATTTCATCTCAATTAGGTTATTGAACTTCAGATTAGTTTCAAATTTATTACTCGATTGCATTTTGTCCCTATATATCATTCCTTTATTTAGTAGTCATACCACAATTGATCTACATCATCCATTCCTGACACCCTAGAAACGAAAATGATAAAATGAATGTTATGGCAAATTAACGTTTTAAAACGTGGGTTTTATAATTCCAACACTTTCAAGAAATGCCAAGCGTCATGATAGTCAATTAGGCTATTATTTGCTCTCTCGGCCAACAACTATATTGCACCTAAGACAACTTTTGGATTTGTCACTGTCTCAAGCTATATAAAAAAATGTGGATATATTCAGTGTTAATTCAAATGATGAAAAGGTAAAAAAATGGACGAACAATGAGAAGTGTTACAAAACAATGTTCTATACACGTATTATTAAGTTTAACTTTTTTAGAAATCAATTAAAGAAAATTAAAGAATTGTGAAAAATTATACAGTGTGTTTAAAAAATTAAAGAATCTTTCTTGTTTACTATTTATTCAAAAGAAAAAGAAAAGAAAATCAAGTTTGAGTTAGGAACAGTAGATATACCCGTGAAACAACCCTCTTCTCCGACTTAATACCAAAATCCGAGATTTTAAGGGGGTCGGGGGAGAAGAAAAGAAAAGAGCATCTACGTTTAAATCCCAAGTAATTATTTATAAATAAGTAAAGCCCAATGTGCCCCCATTAAATTAAATTACATTTTTCTCTCTCCTGTTTTTCAATCACAATTTTTTATAAATTAATATTACACGTAAATCGAAAACTTTTTTTTAACCATTAATTCTCCAAAAAAAAAAAAAAAAAACTATTTCACTCTTTAAATTTGAAAAAATGGGGGTCAAATGGGACTAAATTTAGAAATAAAAAATAAAAAATAAGTAAGACATATATATTTTTTAATTTACACAAAAAGTCCAAACGTGTATATTTATAAGCGTGAATTTCATATGTGATCTGAATTTGTGTAATTGAATTTCAATTTCATTTTAAATTTTACCATTCTTACACTCGGTCATCCATTGTTCTCAAGTTTATAGAAATTACTTAGTTGACAGTCATATTATATTTGATCTCCACATAATCCCTATGTGTCACCCAAAAAACAAAAATGGTAAAATTAATGTTACAATAACTTAAAATTAAAATGCACGTTCTGACTTCTTGCTTTTGAGTCCAATAAACTACCTAAAATATTCAATATTTCAAATCATGACCTGAAATAGGCTAAAACTTGTGTGGGGCGGGCGCACCACCAACCCCGATGTGACACCGCGACGGCTGGCCCACAGGTGTGTGGGTGCCCACCCGCCGAGGTGTCTTGCGTTGATAGGGCGGCCGCATCGCCTCATGGTGCGGCCGCCCTATGCAAGTTTCTCTCCCTGAAATATTCATGTTCTCTACTTCTGACTTTAGTTAATCCTGTGGACAAAGTCAAGTATAGTAGTTACCGTTGCTTGTTGATCAGTCACTCTCTCTAAACTAAGAATTGGTTCCCATTAACAATGTCATGGAATTTTAGTTCTATTTAAACAAATAAAACAAGCAAACTTAAAAAAGATATGATTTACATGTAACGTAAATTNAAGAGGTCATTGGTTTAATATACCTTTCGTTGCTTAATTCACTATTTTGGGATTTAAATCCACAATCCGGGTGTAATTTCGAGGCTTTGTGATCAAGAGGTCGTGGGTTTCATATACCTCCGGTTACTTGGTTCAACGTTTGGGAATTAGATCCTAAACCTTGGTCGTATTTGGGAGTTCTTGGGATCCGATTCAATATCCTGTGTAACCTTGTTGATTGGGTTCGCATCACATGGCCTGCATCATGTCAATTTTAAGGACTAAACAAATTCCAGTGACAGAAAGATAATGAAATAGTGTATCAAGGAGCTTACGTACCATACCAATATAATAGGGAGCATGAACTTGTGTCAACGATCGTTCAATAACAACTATAAAATTAGGTAAAATTACTCCAGGGGGAAGTATGGCTTTTGGAAACAGAACAAATTACTCCAGGGAGAAGTATGGCTTCTGGAAACAGAACAACTCCTGAAAAAGAAAAGTTAAATTAGAAAAAGTAAATGGGGAATCTAGATAAAGAGAGTGATGGAGAGGATGTATACCCAGGACAACAAATCACTTAAAAATGCAAGTGTTGTTCTTGTTCCTTAGCTATGAAAATTTCATTAGGAAAAAACTCTACAAACTTTTAATTGACTTCTCCTTTGATGTTCTTCATGCTTTCTTCGTGATTCCTTGATATAGCCTCCTTATCCTAGATGAATTGTGTGTTCAATTGTCCTAGAAAATAGGGTTTTGAACTTGTATTTATAGTGTCATTGGAGTTTAGGACGAATTAGGTTTGAATTGGACCAAGAAAAGAGTCTAAAATCATTAAAACACGTTTCCAAGCATGGCCGGCACATCGGCGCCCAATATGGGCGCTCGGCATACTGCCGAATTCCATAATAATGGGCGTTGCGGCGCCCATATTCGGCGCCAGTTCGGCTAAAATGACAAATTGTGCATCCTTCAATATTTTTAGCATAACTTTCTTGTCTGATGTCCGAATGAGGTAATTCAAAATGTGTTGGAAAGATAACCCAGAGAACTACAACTTTGCTAGTATCAAAGTGAGACTGAAACTCTGGAGCATAGCTTTTCAGTTGGAAATTGATTTGTGATCATATTTTGACTAAATTTGATCCCTTTGACATCTTTCTTCATCCAATTGACTCCCAACACTCTCGGATCTTCATCATGAGGTTCAACACAACTTTTGATTATTTGCGCTTTAGTCCCCGACTTTGGATCTCTTACAATTTGGTCCTTTCATCCAATTCGCCAACTTTTGCCTATTTCTTTCGATTTCGTCAATCTATACACAACATCAAAATACACATTAAAACGTTTTAAAATACTCATTATAAATTATGAATTATTGGGCGTAAATATCATGAGTGTGGAGCACCAATTACTAAACTACATCTATATTAACTTTCAATGGAGAATACATTATAAATTTCGAATCACACGGCTTAGGCAATGTTTATCCTCATTTTTTCTACTAGAGCTAATGTATTCTAGGAGCAATTTCACTAGCCTATATAAATCATTTACTTATGAGTCTTGCCATATATCTTTCAACTGTCCCATCAGCTTTGTGTTTAAGAGTAAACATCCATTTAGATCCCACCCATTTCCTTTTGGGCATAAGATCAACTAGTTGTCATGTACCACTCTTTTGCAACGCCCTTGTTGCCTCTTTTATAACCCACTTCCGTCTTGGAATAGTCGTTGCTTCCTGTGGAGTACTTTGGAAGAGAATTACAAAAAGACAGATTAGCATTAAAGACACTATAGGAACGGGATTATTTGACGCGAAACAATTTCGAAATAAAATGCAAAGTAGAACTCCTAACACCTTTCTTATGAACAATCGGAATATGAAGATCAGAATATTTATTAAATTAAGATTTCTTGGTATGTTAGGATAGAAGAAGAATTACCTGGAATTTTCTAGAAATTTTTCTTGCTCATTTGTTGAGAAAGTCATCACTTGTTCTTCCTTCAGTGAGATTTAGTTCTATTTTGTACACACTCAAATGGAATGATAGGATCCAATGGAGAAAAGTGAGAAATAGAGTTATGATCATATGCTTGAACAATATGAGACTCATGGGGAAGTTAAATGACACAATACTCATGATCCAAAGAAGATTGCACAGAAAGAATATTGGAGACTCGTGACTAGAAGATTGAACAATAATCAGTACATTTCAAATTTGATCTTTGTGCTTTTCATTTTCCTCTTGTAGAGAAGTTTTTGGTGAAAAAAGAGTTGTTCTTGAAAAAGGTATTACTTACATACAAAAAAGTATTTTGTTTGGAGGGTGATAATACCTGTTACCTTTTTGGTAGGTGAATAACCTTGTAAGACACGTCTAAGAGCTCTTGGATCCATCTTTCCTCTATTATGACAATGCATATGGATGAATGTAGGACAACTAAAAACCTTAGGTGGAAGAGGACAAAATAGTTTGGGTGTTGGATATAGATGTTTAAGATATAAAGGTGTTTTGAAATTCAAGACCCTCAATCAGGTGTGAATCCAGGATCCACGTTCAACTAGGGTGGATGTTGACTTTGACTGTTGACTGTCGACAATCAACAATATAATCATAATAGCCCGATCGTTTATTAAAATTTGATTAAATAATATTAAAAATTATTCAATGTATATGCAAATGCACTAAAACGTAAAAATTATATACATATGAAAATATAGATCAATAAAACCCAAAATACTAAATAAACATATGATACAACCTTACTCTGTAACTGTTTCATACTCTGCAATGCCCTAATTTAATTTTCAATTAGAATCAATAAAAAAATCACAATTCTTAGTAGTAAATCCATAATCCCATTTTCCTTTTCCATATGAATTAAACATTGATTCACTGAATGTCGACCGATCAATAAATAATAACTAATAACACAAAATACATCAATTCCTTGCATCAAACAAGAAACAACACTCAAGCCAGTCAACAAAGGGTTTGCAAATTGCAACCAATGTCTAGAGAATCGACAAATCAATTTTAATTTTTGAATTGCAAATTGACAAATCAACAAAGGGTTTGCACAAATCGATAAATCAGCAAAGGCCAAAGGGTTTGCAAATTGTAGTATTCAAATTCAAGCAAGACTTCAAGTAATCAAGTATTCAAAATCAAGATTTCAAGTTTCAAAACTTCAAGTTATTTAAATTTCAACTCACCACTCACAAGCTGGTCGTGTTCGAGGCCTTGTTCAATTGTTTGCACACTGCCCACCGGCATGCCGCACACAATCCAATCCACCGACTCCATGCTATAGCTGCTAGCCGGCTACTGTTGTAGCTCTGCTTTGAAGAATCAAAGTTCGAATGGAAATAGGGTTTTGCCATTTGTACCACTCCGGGTTACACGGCCCCACCCGACCTCTCACATGGAGAGGTCGGGGACCCATGCCCAAATGTGTGGGGCCGACCTCCCATGTGAGTGGGGAGGTGGGACCATGTAACCCGGAGTGTCAAACTCCGGGTACGAATAACACGGTCCATGGAAATAAGGGTTTGCCGTTCTCAACTCCAGCAACTGGGTTTGCTGTTTTGCAGATTCAAATAACTTATAGAGTTTGGGTTTTCGACCTTGGGTGGTTTTGGGTTAGGAGAAATGAGAAATCCTACTTGGGCCTAAAGTTTTTTTTTATTTAGAAAAAGGCCCAATCAGCCAATCTCCAGACCCCGGCATATCAGCCCAATTGCCCAAACCAAAAAAATAATATTTTGTCTTGTCTTCTTCAGTTCTTCTCCACCGGTTGTGCTGCGCATCACCACCAACCCGACGGCCACTGAAACTCCTTGGGGATCCAGCATGGGCGACCGCTGGGGCTCGCCACTAGCTGGATCCGCCCCTACTCTCGATTGCATTCTATTGATAAGGCATGTAGTGATAAGAAAAATTTCACCTTAAAAAAGTGTGGGAATCCCATGGTAAACATTACAGCTTTAACTATTTTAAGATGTTATGTTTTTCTCACTGCTACCCCATTCACTACAATTACAAAAAAGTGCAGCTTGAGATAAGAAAATTTCCATCGCTGACGGCTTTTCACAAACGGAATTGATCGGTCGGGGGAATTAGTCGGTAATATGCCCACCGCTAATTTAGCGACGAATTACTTAGGTTGTCGGTGATATAGCGATGGAATAGGCCGTCGTTGTTTACCTATGGTTATTTCTGTCGCTAATTAGCAACAAAAATATTTCGTCACGAATTAGCTACAAATTATGTCCGTTGATGATTACCAACGAATTTCCTGTAGCTATTTTGAATTAAAATCTTAGGAAAAATATATGATTTTGTTTTAATAATTATTTTCTTGAAAAATTCTTACATTAAAGTCAAACTAAAATTTAAAAAACTAAAATAAAATAAAATATTGAAATCCAATAATCAAGATCATCAAAGAAGCGAGCTGCCCATTCATCTATCAATCCGACCATTTCGGCGATTATCTTAAAAAACTAGATTTGATACAAATTCATTGGTCCTTGTTAATCACCTCTTCCACAAATAATATACAAAAAAAAAAAAAAAAAAAAAAAAAAAAAAAAAAAAAAAAAAAAAAAAAAAAGAAAAAAAAAAGAACAATCACTACATACAAAAATTTGAGTAGACAAAGTCCAAATTGCACCATGTAAATCTCCAGCTAGTCTCAAAAACAAAATGCCCCCGTACTTTGACAGCTACCAGATCCCAATTCTCTAGCTTTTCCAAAAGCACTTATGTCAACTTTCCAACCTTCATACTCTGCAATGCCCTAATTTAATTTTCAATTAGAATCAATAAAAAAATCACAATTCTTAGTAGTAAATCCATAATCCCATTTTCCTTTTCCATATGAATTAAACATTGATTCACTGAATGTCGACCGATCAATAAATAATAACTAATAACACAAAATACATCAATTCCTTGCATCAAACAAGAAACAACACTCAAGCCAGTCAACAAAGGGTTTGCAAATTGCAACCAATGTCTAGAGAATCGACAAATCAATTTTAATTTTTGAATTGCAAATTGACAAATCAACAAAGGGTTTGCACAAATCGATAAATCAGCAAAGGCCAAAGGGTTTGCAAATTGTAGTATTCAAATTCAAGCAAGACTTCAAGTAATCAAGTATTCAAAATCAAGATTTCAAGTTTCAAAACTTCAAGTTATTTAAATTTCAACTCACCACTCACAAGCTGGTCGTGTTCGAGGCCTTGTTCAATTGTTTGCACACTGCCCACCGGCATGCCGCACACAATCCAATCCACCGACTCCATGCTATAGCTGCTAGCCGGCTACTGTTGTAGCTCTGCTTTGAAGAATCAAAGTTCGAATGGAAATAGGGTTTTGCCATTTGTACCACTCCGGGTTACACGGCCCCACCCGACCTCTCACATGGAGAGGTCGGGGACCCATGCCCAAATGTGTGGGGCCGACCTCCCCATGTGAGTGGGGAGGTGGGACCATGTAACCCGGAGTGTCAAACTCCGGGTACGAATAACACGGTCCATGGAAATAAGGGTTTGCCGTTCTCAACTCCAGCAACTGGGTTTGCTGTTTTGCAGATTCAAATAACTTATAGAGTTTGGGTTTTCGACCTTGGGTGGTTTTGGGTTAGGAGAAATGAGAAATCCTACTTGGGCCTAAAGTTTTTTTTTATTTAGAAAAAGGCCCAATCAGCCAATCTCCAGACCCCGGCATATCAGCCCAATTGCCCAAACCAAAAAAATAATATTTTGTCTTGTCTTCTTCAGTTCTTCTCCACCGGTTGTGCTGCGCATCACCACCAACCCGACGGCCACTGAAACTCCTTGGGGATCCAGCATGGGCGACCGCTGGGGCTCACCACTAGCTGGATCCGCCCCTACTCTCAATTGCATTCTATTGATAAGGCATGTAGTGATAAGAAAAATTTCACCTTAAAAAAGTGTGGGAATCCCATGGTAAACATTACAGCTTTAGCTATTTTAAGATGTTATGTTTTTCTCATTGCTACCCCATTCACTACAATTACAAAAAAGTGCAGCTTGAGATAAGAAAATTTCCATCGCTGACGGCTTTTCACAAACGGAATTGATCGGTCGGGGAATTAGTCGGTAATATGCCCACCGCTAATTTAGCGACGAATTACTTAGGTTGTCGGTGATATAGCGATGGAATAGGCCGTCGTTGTTTACCTATGGTTATTTCTGTCGCTAATTAGCAACAAAAATATTTCGTCACGAATTAGCTACAAATTATGTCCGTTGATGATTACCAACGAATTTCCTGTAGCTATTTTGAATTAAAATCTTAGGAAAAATATATGATTTTGTTTTAATAATTATTTTCTTGAAAAATTCTTACATTAAAGTCAAACTAAAATTTAAAAAACTAAAATAAAATAAAATATTGAAATCCAATAATCAAGATCATCAAAGAAGCGAGCTGCCCATTCATCTATCAATCCGACCATTTCGGCGATTATCTTAAAAAACTAGATTTGATACAAATTCATTGGTCCTTGTTAATCACCTCTTCCACAAATAATATACAAAAAAAAAAAAAAAGGAAAAAAAAAAGAACAATCACTACATACAAAAATTTGAGTAGACAAAGTCCAAATTGCACCATGTAAATCTCCAGCTAGTCTCAAAAACAAAATGCCCCCGTACTTTGACAGCTACCAGATCCCAATTCTCTAGCTTTTCCAAAAGCACTTATGTCAACTTTCCAACCTGAAAAAAAAAAAAAAAAAAAAAAAAAAAGGAAAAAAAAAAGAACAATCACTACATACAAAAATTTGAGTAGACAAAGTCCAAATTGCACCATGTAAATCTCCAGCTAGTCTCAAAAACAAAATGCCCCCGTACTTTGACAGCTACCAGATCCCAATTCTCTAGCTTTTCCAAAAGCACTTATGTCAACTTTCCAACCTTTTGTTAGAGCAACCTACAACGCATATGACCGGATTCCGAGGTAGAGAACTGAATTAGAAAAATGGTCACAAGGCACTAGGTTGGCTAATTTTCAAATTGACTTAGATTCAAAATTCCTATAGAAAATGTTTCACAATCAATCCTAAGTACCCATACCTTAGCAGAAGACCCTGCATCAGCAAATGATCCTTTCAAACCTTTCTTTTTAATTAATCCTGAACATGAGACACAGTGATCATAGCATAATATTATGAATGATCATTGCAAACTCAGAGTGCAAGATATTTTCTTAAAATCCTAGTAGGCCAACTAGAAGTCAGAATTAATAGTTTATTAAACATGAAATTTTTGAATTGATAATGAAGTTTTAGTCAATGGGATCATAGTTCCAATAATAATCTGAATAAATCATAAAAGGTGTCACATTTAATCGTGGATATTTTCACAACCTCTCCACCAGGGGGGAAAGCCCACAACACAATTACGATGTTTACATAACCTGGCCTTTGGAAATCACCTTAGTCATAGTTCAAATAAGTGTATTCAAATCATAGCTACTAGAAATTTTCACTGATATCTGAAATAGAGGAAAGGATAAAAACACAAAACATCACGCATAGAAAGATTATTTGAACAGTATTACAGACCAATTCTCCGTGTCTATGAGGCAGATTTCATATAGGCATATATAATTGAACTGCTATTACATGTTTGGCAGTGCTAGATAACATAATAAACAAAATTTTATCTTACTTCTTCTTAACAAACATTATCCAACCCTCCCTGCCAGATACTCCATTAGTGCCAAACATGACCTCGGTGAATTGTCACAATATCCCAGCTTAAACCAGCACACATATAATCTACTTAAAATAACTAAACATCACGCATAAAACAAACAGAAGCGAGCACCCATTCATCTATCAATCCAACCTACATGTTTGGCAGTACTAGATAACATAATAAACAAAAAATCAGTACAGATTTAAGTAGGATAATTATTCGACATAGAACTGTCCAATACAAAATAAGGATGTCAAGAACAAAACAAACTTATCTGCGACAGTAATTTCACTTCCAAAAACCATCTTCCTTAATAGGGCAGCAACCTGAAACAATGAAACTAGCATAAACCATACCGAAATTAGACAAAAGACATTTAAATGCAAATCACCTAATTCACTAGTATATAGTGAAACTAAAGATCATTTACCGAACCAGCAAAGTCAATACGTTCACTCCGAGTAAGAGCATACATTGGAATTCAGAGCTTCTTCCCACGACCATCGTAACCATTGTTTAATTTCTAGGCCTTCCACCGTTTCACAATCAATCCTGCATGATATAAATTCATATTTTGATGGTTGAAGAAAATAAAAATCAAAGCTTCTTCCAATTAGAAACAAGTTATGCTAACATAATTGTGAGAAGAAAATAAGCATAAATTTAATTGTTGTTAAAAACAAAAAGCCAACTGGAAGTCTGGAATCCAGAAAAAAGAATCACGTATTTGATTCCAGTAAAAAGTGTTAAGGGATATAAATCCCACATCGGTAAAAATTCCGAAATAATGACCAACTTATAAAGATATTGGGTTTCTCCTCTTAACAAGGTTGACCTTATTAGGATGGACCACAAATTTTAATATGGTATCAGAGCCCATTAAACTCCAACGAGCAATTTGATCTGGTTAAGACTCTAAAAAATGAGCACACGAATTTCAAAATTGGTCTGCTTAAACGAGCCACCATCTTGCGGGGACATGTTAAGGGATATAAATCCCACATCAGTAAAATACCGAAATAATGACCACCTTATAAAGATCTTAGGCTTCTCCTCTTAACAAAGTTGACTTTATTGAGATGGACCTCAAGTCTTAACATGATATCAGAGCCCATTAATTTCCAACGAGCAATTCGATCCGGTTAAGACTCTAAAAAATGAGCACACGGATTTCAAGATTGGTTTGCTCAAACGAGCCACCATCTTGCGGGACATGTTAAGAGATATAAATCCCACATCGGTAAAAATACCGAAATAAGGACCAACTTATAAAGATTTTGGGCTTCTCCTCTTAACAAAGTTGACCTTATTAAGATGGACCCCAAGTCTTAACAAAAAGAACAATGAAATGAAACAAGAATTACATCCACCTCCAAATTTTCCTTTTTAATATTCATGAATCGTCACATCTTTAGAACAATACCAATCATATCCTAAAATCCCATTCTTAATGTCAAGAAAACCCAAAAAATACATAGCCATCACATAATAAACATGGACTATACACACAAAGCACGAGATCTATTAGAATTTATTAATTGAGAAAACATTCCATAATAGGAGGAAGACAAACCTCCATAGAAGGAGGGATTGGAGAATATAATCCAATGATTTATTAATGAATACAATGGCTCTATTTATAGAGAAAAAGAAGAGTAAATAACTGACTAATTGACTTATTAATAGGCTAATCACTAACTAACTAACAACTAAACATGAGCTGGAATATTCTGGAACTAACTGGAATGTATTTCTAACACACCCCCTCAAGATAGACTATGGAGATCAACAATAGTTCATCTTGAATATTAAAGAGTGTACTGGAGAGAAAAACCATGATGAACAGCCTTGCAGAACAGATCTCTTGAATCCATACATATGAGCATCCATTAGATCAGCACGAAACATCACCAGACATTCCATTCTCATTCCATTTCGTGCCAGTGTACTGATCATAGATGTGAAACAAATGGCATTTGGTAAGTAAAGTTGATTGAAAACTTGGCGGGAAAATCTAACATCACTAGATCTAGAATATGCATCAATCAAAGAACAAAAGACTGCATCATTAGATTCAAAACAAGATTTTATTGCATGACAATGCAGCAACATGTTGCTGGTGGAACTAGTAAAAGTAGACACCACCAATGCTTTTAGAGTTGAGGAGACTTGTTTTGTACGGCAAACTTGGTAAGGTTCATATTGCAGAAAGGGATGATGTTCTCAATGGCAGCAAACTGGCGGATCTTCAGATTTCACCAGATCTGATGGAGAAACAAGAAATAGTGGAGGCTCTAACCATCAATAAAGATCTCTGAAAGTTCAGAGAACCAAAATCTGATAGAGTAGAGAAATTTTATTACAGAGAGTCAAGGACGAATTCTGATGTTGCTGTCGCCATTTTCTGAAGACAGGAACTGAACTTGTACTGGATTAGCACTTTCCAGAATTATGCTAAAATAGAAGAAATTAGAGATCTGCTTTCATTTTTGCAGAACACAGAAAGAGTTGATGAAAATCTCAAAAACAAAAAAAGTGGTAGAAGAAATTCTAGCTCTGATACCATATTAGGTTTCATATGTAATGAAGTAATTTCTTATTGATTGAATATGCACTATATTGGTGTATATATTACATCCATATCCTACCATGCATGGAAAGAAATCAATCTAGGACAAAACATTTGATAAAGGAAATAATCTTCTCAATTATAGCTAAATCCCTATAATCACGCTTTATACTCCCTCTCAAGTTGGAGTATGAAGGTCCGTAATGCCCAACTTGCAAGTGAAATGACAGAAAAATCCTTGCCGAGAGCCTTTGTGAAAATATCCTCCAAATTGATGTAGAATGGAGGGAAACCCTAGAAGCCAATATCTCTTTTCTTGCTTGAGATAGAGATGAAGAAAGTGCTACAATATATATATATATATATATATAGAATTCAATGGGCCAATTCTATATTAAGTGGGTTGAGAGTAAGGGCCTCTATATGTGTTAATAAAAGGGCCCATCCCATTATGGTCTCACAAAATGACTAATGAAATGCTAGTCCATAAAATTAAATACAACAATCTCCCACTTGGACAGCATTTCATTTAAGTGAAAATTACATAATTCCAGGTATTTCAAGATTAGAATTCAAATATCACGATGAAAGTATCTTTTTTTTTTTTTTTATAGAAAATTTATTTATTTAGAAATCCTCACTTGTGGTGGAGGAGAAACTGTGGCTACAACAATCCAAAAAGACATAAAGATAGAAAACTAACTAACATCTAATGTGCGGTAATTCCCAACGGTTTGTGTGTACAATACCACGAAGAAGATGAGGCATAGAGTCACCATGAAAGAACTCAATAGACTCTCCATTACTTGCCTTTTTTGCAAGGAAATTTGCAGCCATATTCGCCTCTCGATACACATGTTGAATCCTGGCATTAACCCTTTTTGCCAAATCTAGAATTTCGTCCCAAAAATCCTGAAGGATCCATAAAGAGCAAGCTCGTTTTTCCATCCATTGAACCACAACTTTTGAGTCTGATTCTACCATCACATTCTGTTACCCAAGTTTGCTACACATTCTCAATCCATCAAGTAGAGCTCGAGTTTCCGCTACCATGTTCGTGGCATGTCCATAATGGTTTGCAAAACCTGCCCAACAAATGCCATTTGTATCATGTATTAAGGCCCC